AGAGAGACAGAGAGAAAGGTCTTCCTTTGCCACTGGTTCACCCTCCAATGGCCGCCACGGCCGGCACACCGCGCTGATCCAAATCCAGGAGCCAGGTACTTCTCCTGGTCTCCCATGGGGTGCAGGGCCCAAGCACTTGGGCCATCCTCCACTGCACTCCCTGGCCACAGCAGAGAGCTGGCCTGGAAGAGGGGCAACTGGGACAGAATCCGGCGCCCCGACCGGGACTAGAACCCTGTGTGCCGGCGCCACAAGGTGGAGGATTAGCCTAGTGAGCTGCGGCGCCAGCCCTGCCTTTCAAATAAATATAAATAAATAAAATTTTAGGGAAGCAAAATGAAACACATGAATTGTAACAATGAACAGAAATATTCATAAAGGAATCCTTTAAAAATCCGGGTATGATGTCAAACAACAAAGTTCATTTGTACATTATTCATATGTGACAATATATAAGGGACCAGTATGATGGTGAAGCATGTTAAGTCACTATTTGTGATGTCAAGATCCTATACTGGAGCATTAGTTCAAAACCTAGCTATTCTGCTTCCAATCCAGATTCCTGCTAATGCCCTTGAGAAGACAATGAGAGATGCTCCAAGTATTTGGGCCACTGCCACCCATGTGGGAGACCTGGATAGAGTTCCCGACTCCTGGCTTTTGCCTGGCCTAGACCTGGCTGTTGAGGCCATTTGGGGAGCAGACCAGCAGATGGACAATATCGTTCTCATGTTCTATCACTCTACCTTTCAAATAAATTAATCTTTAAAGTATATATATAATATCACAAATGAAGTGTAATATTTATTGAATCTTTTTATCTCCTACAAATTTAAGGAATCCTCCTGGTATTAATTTTTTTAGATATTTAAGGTTACTGGTGTTTTCTACTAAAATTCAACCGGGAAAGTTGTTATTGTTTATTTTTCTACGTGCTGGGCACTGTGTTATAACTTTAGATTGGTTCTTTCATTTGTCATCAAGTAACTGTATGGAATAGTACTATTACTTAACTGTATGTAACAGATAAGGAAACTGAGACTTGCTGAAGTTACATAACCTGCTTAAGGTGACACAGTGGCAGAGGTAAGAATATAAACTCCACAACCCAGAGTCATTCCAACACAGTGCCTCAAGGTGAAGCCTTGTCCCTTGAGAGTGGCCACTGGTTTGGTTCCTTACACTGTTAAGATGACAAATGGCTCCATTCCATCTTAATATTGCAGGACTGATCTGATGACTGGATTATACTGTCATAGGATTTTCAACTGTATTTTATTCCTCTAGAAATTTCCAGATAGGGCGTGAGATAGGACAAAGAAGACATATTGCCCTCCAAAAAAGAAAAATTAAAAACTCCTGAGTCCAGACACTTCAATATTTATATTACCCCATCAGTGCCATACATTCTAATACACCTTAAAGTTTTTATTTTACTCACTTGTCCTGTGGCCTTGCAATCCACAGAAGGTTTGTGTGCCCGACCTCTAATGATAATTCATCATATATCCTAATGCTTTCTTATTGGAGCTGTAAAACAATGAATTAGCAACAAATCCCCCACTCTTTGCCCCTTCAGCCCTTGGAGTTAAACTCCTCTCACATTACAGTATTTATTGAATTTCCCAGCCAAACGGTGTTCTGCTCCATAAAGTTCTGACAAGTGGACTCTGCCAAGCTAATAATGGCTTCATTCTGCTGAAATAAACTTATTTCACTGCGGCAAACAAAACGACATGACCTGGAAAGGTTATTTTTAACTGGGTAATGACTCAGTCCCAACCAAGCATCTCTCTCAAGGTTCCCTGTTTTAAATAAGCTACATTTCTTAAGTATAAATGTATGCGATTATGTGTGTTCTTGTTTGCCAATCTCTCACAAAGAAGCAAACAGAGATATTTTCATTCCTTTAAAGTGTTTGGTTTCATTATTTAGTAATTTGGCCACTTTATCAAGCTATCCAAGGATCCTGGCACAGAGAAGTCACCCAGAGAACTTGAAAGACAAGATGCATAAAAAAGCAAAGTCCCTTTTAAGCAGAATCTGGTTTTACTGCATTTTTTTTCTTTTAATTAAACAGCATCAAAACCTTTCAATTTTGAAAAACTTTTCACTGTGTGCCTCTGATAAATAGCTTTCTTATCTCACTGCTTTCTAAAGCATGGTCAAATGCTGCCAAAATTGCTAACCCTGTTTACCAAATAAAGGTATGCCAACAAAAATTTATCTACATCCACACAAGTTAACATTCCCCCCACCCCAACATACACACACACAGTATCTTAAACTCTGTATACCAAAAATGTTCAGTATTAAAAAGTTTGCAAATGTAAAAAGTTTTTTTTCTCCATACTGCCTCCATATTTAACAGTTATTTCCCATATCTCTTTATCTTGCACTGCAAGCCCCTCCAAAACAAACAAATGAACAGACAAAACTGCCATGATAAGGTCAAATTTTTCTTCAAGTTTCAAATGATCAGGGACTCCAGGAGCACCATTCCAACAGCTGGGATCTTGTACCAACATGCTGCACCCTGCCAGCCTTGCCTTCTGAGACTAATAAAAAAGAAAACCCTTGACAGCTAACAGCTGGCCTCCTTATGAAGCTGTTCAATAGAAACGACCAGGCCTCCCACAGCCCACCAAAAATCAGGGCCCTGTGTACAGACACATAAATGCCCAAGAAAAAAAAACTGGTAACAAAGAGTGCATATTTAAAGGAGACTGAAACAAGATGATGATGAATAACAAGGGAAAAAGTGCTAATCAATGGAACAAGAAACCCTGTCACAACGAACCTGGCATAGTTATCAAAAATGTGAGTTTCAGGGCTTACTGTATTGCAATTTTGTTTCATTCAAAAGGAATCAAACACAGGTTTTAATCTGGATGAGGTCACAGAATTATATTACACAGTTAGCTACAAATTAAAGAGCGAAAACCTTTACATAGAGACATGGTTCTGTCCAAATCCCAGAAAGAATCTTGCATATCCTTCAGAAGACCAATAGTTCAAATGCACATTTGCAGTAAAAGGAACTAATGTGAATCACCTTATCATTGCTTCCTGCAACTCCTAAATGCCAGTACAGACTTTCATCAACCAGGTTTATGCTACCACCACTAACTCCCCCAGCCAAAGCTAGACTGCACAATTATTGTCAACTAGCTTAATAAACAAGAGGCATAAAATAAAACCACACAGAAGCCATATAAGGTTATTGAGGATAAGCAATGGTTGACTACGCTGGGTTTGAGTAAAACTGTCTCTAAAGCCCTCAAGATCACTAAGGTATGGCAAAACAGTGAACAAGGTTTGTTGAAGTTACAGTCAATGTAAGAACATAGAAACTAGCAAAAATATAAGGAACACAAAAACTCTCCAAAAATGTATTATGTTAAAAATGAAGAAAAGACTGTTTTTATAGCCCTAGTAAGGAAACAAAAACTATTAAATCTTTATCCTGAAAAACTTCTAAGCACTTCCAACTGTACAACTGAATCATTTCTAACTGCTAATTTCTAATGCAGGTCAAAGAAGGCTCTTAATTTGTAGAGAGAGTGCATGTGCCTCATTTGCACTGTTCACCACCAGTGGCCACACACAGATACTGGCCCAGAATGTGAAAAGGGGGAAGAGAGGCTTGAGCTTTGCTGTGGCAAAGGACCAGGGCACTGGTCATAAATTAAGGACTCAGAGACCATTGTGCTAGTTCCTGTTTGAAGTAGGAGCTCACTTTTGTTAAACAGTCAACATCAGAAAAAAATTTAAATCCTCCAAGTTATCCTGAGATACATATCGATTTTTGTTCAATACTAAAACTATTACTACTTCTCCAAATAGTAAATAGTATTTACTTTTGTAATTTGTCCCAAACAAAAAAAAGGAAGTTTGCAATTTGTATCCAAATCTCCCGAGGAAAAAGAAAAGTGAATGTATTTGCATTAACAACCAGAAAATGATCCCCAGTGTCTGAACCCATTATCTATCTTAAGTATATTCACCTAACAAAGTATTTATTACTACTGTGATACCAAGGATTCTGCTGAGGGGAAGTAAAAGCATGGTGAGAAAACTGTTCTAAACAGCACAGAACTTACACATTCCTACAGCCATTGTACCCTTTGCCATAGTTACCATGGGAAACAACAATGCTGCTGAAATCAGCACTGTTCTCAACACTCAGCTTCCAGCTTCACTCAACTTCTACTTTCTTCACTTGAGCAACAGCAATATGAAGTTCAATGCTTTGATTATTTCTCCGACATTAGGTGGTACATTAGGTGGTACATCCTGAATTTCCTTATTTATTAAAAAAAAATATTCCTTTCATCTTAAAAAGTCTTACCAGGGCCAGCATTGTGGCACGGCAGGCTAAGCTGCTGCCTGCAACACCATCATACTACACGGGTGCCACTTCAAGTCCTGGCTACTCCACTTCTAATCCAACTCCCTGCCGATGTGCCTAGGAAGCCAGGGGAGGATGGCCCAGGTATTTGGGTTCTTGCCAACCCACATGGGAGGACTGGATGGAATTCCAGGTTTCTGTTTGACCTGACCCCATCCCTGGTCCTTGTGTAACTCTGCCTTTCAAATAAATAAATAAATCTTTATTTTAAAATTCAAGTAACAGAGTTATTTTATTAAAAAGTCTCTGGGGCGAGCACTGTGGCATAGTGGGTAAAGCCGCTGCCTGCAGTGCTGGCATCCCCTACGGGCACTGGTTCATGTCCTGGCTGTTCCACTTCTGATCCAGCTCTCTGCTGTGGCCTGGGAATGCAGCAGCAAATGGCCCAAGAAGCTCCTGGGTCCTGGCTTCAGATCAGCACAGCTCCAGCCACTGCAGCCATTTGGGTAGTGAACCAGCAGATGGAAGACCTCCCACCCAACTCTGCCTTTCAAATAAATAAATAAACCTTAAAAAAAAAGCCTCAGCTTACTACTTACTAGCTGACTTGTATAATTTATGTGATTTGTGCCTTTTTCTTATCTATTAGTGTCTAGAAGAGCAGTGTACACAGATATGTATACTTGATAACAAAAACACGATCCTGCTGGAGATCTCTTCACAGAAAAGTACGAAGGCCTAAATTCCTCAAGTAGAGGAGAGTAGAAAAGAGAAAATTATAATAGAATTATGTGAATAGAAGAGGGGAGTGATACGAAGATGATGGAGGAGAGGAGAGGGGAGCCATGACGGGAAACAGGAGAAGACACAAGTAACTACTAGGTCCTCACAAGAAATGATGACAGTCACTGCATTTCTGTTGATTCTACCATTGACTGACGACTTAATTTGATACAGAAAAAGAGAGAGAGGCAGACAGATCGAGGCAGATTTGCATCCACTGATTCATCCCCCAAATGCTCACAACTGCCAGGGCTGGGTCGAGCCAAAGCTAGGCGATGGAAACTCAACCTGGGTCTCCTACATGGGCGGCAGGGATCAAAGTACTTGAGCTATCATCAGCTGCCTCTCCCAGGGTACACATCAACAGGAAGCTGGGATCAGAAGTAAAGCCAGGACTCACTGACACAGGGTGCAGGCATCCCTATAGGCAATCTACCTACCAAGCCAAATGCCAGTCCATGATTCCGTCCTTTAGGACATGATTTCCCAAGCAACTTAGCACATACTGCCCTAATATCAATGAGCCATCATCCAAATGGCCAATAATCTTGGTTGTAAATTCATCCTCTAGAAATGAAGCTATCTATCTAGCCTTTTTATCTTTTACTTTTTTTAACTCTATCTAAAAATGTCATTTCCGGCCGGCGCCGCGGCTCACTAGGCTAATCCTCCGCCTAGCGGCGCCAGCACACCGGGTTCTAGTCCCGGTCGGGGCGCCGGATTCTGTCCCGGTTGCCCCTCTTCCAGGCCAGCCCTCTGCTGTGGCCAGGGAGTGCAGTGGAGGATGGCCCAGGTGCTTGGGCCCTGCACCCCATGGGAGACCAGGAAAAGCACCTGGCTCCTGGCTCCTGCCATCGGATCAGCGCGGTGCGCCGGCCGCAGCGCGCCGGCCGCGGCGGCCATTGGAGGGTGAACCAACGGCAAAGGAAGACCTTTCTCTCTGTCTCTCTCTCACTGTCCACTCTGCCTGTCAAAAAAAAAAAAAAAAAGTCATTTCCTTTTGTAAGTTGATTTTTGCTTACTTTGAGAAATAAATGAATCAAGTTCAGAACAAACACCTACACTGAGGACATTTCTTATCATTTAAATTAGCAAGAAACAATTTTCAACTAAAAACCAAATATTAAAATAGCAGGAAAAATAATCTAAGTCAATCTTATTGCTTCAACTGCATCATAACAGAGTACAATTTATGTTATGACCAATTATTTTCTCAGAAACTGATGCAATGTGCAGTACAACTTTATAAGTTTACATATGAATTCTATCCAGTGCAGGAGAGATGTTTCACACCTTATGATGTTCTTTTATCAATTTAATGCTTATGGGACCTTATCAATGCCACATTACTTTTCATAAAAATAAGATAAATGGCAACACAGTTCACAACTGAAACAAATACAGAACTTTGTAATTCAATGTCTCCAAGCAGCATAGTCTACAAGAGGCCATTTATGAGATATCTGCAGTAGGGAAACTCAACTGACTGCCTTCTTATTAACGATTACGAAGATTTCAAGCCACTTTAGGAGAGAAATCCCCATCAGAGATGACATGGGAAAAGCAAACAGAGGCACGAACGTATCTGATGCTTCTACTAATTAACTGTATAGCCAGCATCTGATGTAAAAGCTGCTATTTTCTCCTCATTGGCCACATGCTGCAGCAGAAGCTGATGTAGCTGACTGACACGGACCTGCCACAGGTGACTGGCACTTGACCCAAAATATGTCAATAAAAAATTTGGGATATAAATGGAAATAGACGCCCCAGTAGTTGGAACGTGATAGATAAAGCCCAGGCATAGTTAGGAACCATAATTCCCATTAACCTGCCCAATAGAGAAATATAGGTGAATCAATGACCTGACAGCAGGAGAATTTCAATCTGTTCTTAAAGCTACATCCCTGGCCATAAGGTTCCGTGGCCCATATAAAGCACTCCTGTCTTCTTTGCTATTTGTCTGTTTTTACTTGCTTCAAGTTCAGATTCTATTATTTGCAAATGATTCCACTGGACATTTTTAAGAGATGGTTTGATAACACTAGAGAAGTTTTTTTTTAATTGAAGATAGCTTATTAATGGGAAAACCAATTTAATGAGTTAGAATAAAAAATCTTTTTAAAAAAATAGACTAGCACAGAATTGGCACTCCATGCTATAACAAATAAAGAGGAAATTCAGTCCCCATCTCACACTATATACAAAAAGCACTTCCAGGTAGATTGAGGATCTCAATGTAAAAATTAACACTATCAACTTTTGGAAAAGGCCAAAGAACATCTCTGGAGCTTGAGGGTAGAAAATGGTTTTCAAGCAAGATACACAAAGAACTAATCATAAAGTGGAAGACTAATAAATTTTACTACATAAAAATTTAAAATATCTTCTTTCCAAAGACACTATTGTAGAAGTGAAATAGGTTACTTGTGGTGAGGACAAATACAAAATGCATGTAACTGACAAAGGAAAGCATGTGCAGCAAATAATGAACTCCTACAGAATGGTGACAACCAAGTAGGAAAACACACAAAATACTTAAACAGGCACTTCACACAAGAAGAAATCAAATGGCTAATCAACATGGGAAATGTACTCAAATCCATACCAGTGAGAGAAATGTACAATAAAACCTCCGGGGGGTATCACACAATAGCCAAACTGACAAAAATGTAAATGTCTGGCAATACCAAGAATTGGCAAAGATACATGTAGAGAAACAGGGATTTTCACATGTGGAAATTTGTAAATTCATCTTGGAAAACTGAAATTATAAAAAGAAGCTGAGTATAAGTATATTCCATGATGCAGATTTTGATTCTGAATGTATAGCCTAGAAATGTTGCCTTATATGCATCCGAATATCTACATAGACTGGCACTCTCCATAAATATCCAAAATTAAGGCAACACAAATACCTATCAACAGTATAATGGGAAAGTACAAGATATTCATACAATAAAATAGTATAAATCAGTGAGCATGGAGAAACTATAGGTAAATGCAAAAACAATCTTACTAACATAATGCTGAACAAAAAGGTCCCAAAAAAGAATTCATACAATATCACCCCATTTATATTAAGGTCAAAACTATGAAAATTTTATTGTGTAGGCAAGCATGTGTAGTCAAATGAAATATGAAGAACACAAAAAATTAGATTACAAACAAGGATGATGGTTATTTCTACAGGATAGGAGGGGATTATGATAAAGAACACTGGCACAGAAATGCCATAAATGCCAAATAACTGTAGGCACATGAGTGTTCAAGCATTATAAAAATATACAATTTCTATTGGTACTACTCATGTCCAAGATACAATCATTAACTGTCAACAAGGCAATTTCCTAATAGGCCTCTCCAATTTCAGACTTGTTTCTCACCACTCTAACATCAACACTGTTGTGTGGTGGAGTGGTCTTTTTAAACATTTCATCAGGCAGCCGTGTCACTACTCTACTTTACACCCTGCAATGGCCTCCCTCTTTAGTCAAATTAAAAGTCAAAATGTCTACTATTGTTTGCAAAGCCCATACATGCCAGCTCCCTTGTTATCCTTCCTACTTATAGTCCTACCTGCAACCAATCCTCTCACCCTCCCACTCTGCACTCCTTGCTTTTCCCTGAACAAGCCAGGTACAGTCCTGATGACAGCCTTTGCTCCTGTCTCTCCGAGTGGTACAAGCGCACTCCCTTCCCCCATCTGCTAGCTAACTCCTTCCTCCAAATCTTAACTCCTTCTTGATGAGACTGACCTGCACTGACCACCCTCTTGAACACTATAGTGTGTCCCTCACACTCACCAGCAGTCTTGATTCCTCTATCCTGCTCTGCCTTTTTCTTTTTCTCTCATCTTAGAATACACTACACAATTCACTTTCACTGCGTCTACTTTTTATCATACATTGTCTTTCTCACCCAATATAGAGTCCCAGAAGGAGAGGAAATCTTGTCTCTTGTTTACAAATACATTCATGATGCTTTATGCATAGCAGGTGTTCAATAAATTTTTGTTGCATATATGACACTATCCATGTTTGTCATAAAAGAAATATATTTTTAAAATATTTATTTGAAAGGCAGAAATACATATATGTGTACATGTATGTATATATGAGATTATATATGAGATTATATTTATGAGATTGTATACACACACACACACACACAAAGACAGAGATCTTCCATCTGTTGTTTCACTCCCCAAAGGCCGCAATGGCCTGGGCTGTGCCGGGCTGAAGCTAGGAATTAGCAGCTTCTTCCCAGTCTCCCACATGGGTGCAGGGAACCAAGTATTTGGGCCATCTTCCGCTACTTTCACAACCACATTAGCAGGGAGCTGGATCGAAAGTGGAGCAGCTGGGACTCGAACCAGTGCCCATATGGGATGCCAGCACTGCAAGTAGAAGCATAAGCTTCTATGCCACAGCATTGGCTCCAAAGCAAAAAAAGCACTGCTAAGTGCGGATTGAGGCAAGAAGGTTTCAAACAATTAACATCAGAACATTCAAGCTGTACACAGGGTCAGTATGTGGGTAAAAGGAAAAGAAAAGGGATAATGGTAAAAACAGGAAGATCGTACTTCATCCTACAGATCCATTTTGTCCAACATGGCAGTCATTGGCCACGTGTAGTCATTTAAATTTAATTTAAAACTAAAAGTAAAACTTCAGTTTCTCAGTCTGACCATGAATACTTCAAGTGTTCAACAGCCATATGTGGTTAGTGGCTACTATCGGACAGCACCATACAGAACAATTCCCTCATCAAAGAAAGTTCTAGTAGGCAACACTGCTTTATTGCAAACAATAAGACTATCACCTGGGCCAGCATTGTGGCACAGTGGGTTAAGCTGCCACCTCTGATGCTAGCATGAACACCAGTTCAAGTCCCAGATGCTCCAGGAAAAGCCACAGAAGATGTCCCAAGAAGGAGAAAATAG